CCCCCCCCCGCACAGAGACCCTCCCCCGTTTGCCACTCACCTTCATCGCTGCCCATGAATGACCCTCTGGGAGACTCAGGGATTCCTTCCCAGACCTTGATGTTTTTGGGGTACTCGCTGTCCACTGCCCTGAGCTCTTCGTTGAAACGGTAGTACCTGGAGGAGAGGAGAGGCAGGGAAGCGGTCGGGCTCTGGGCATGTCCTTGGAGGGTAGCAGGGCCCAGGGCTGAATTCACCAGCGAGCAAAGGGTGGCTATGGACAGGGTGCAGGACAGGGGTTTTGAGTAATGAGGGCCTGTGGCCGAAAGTGGCGGAAGGTGGGGGTGGATGGGAGGTCCCAGGCTGCAAGGAGCCACCAGTAGCCTTTAATGATAGTGCCTGGCAGCTGGGGTGGAGGCACGGCGCTGGGGGCAGGAGGCGCCAAATGACCAGGTCTGAAATGGTGACCCGGTCACTTCCCACTCACTCAGCACCTAATGGAGGCTGTCTGTTGCTAGGCAATAACAGAGGCTCAGCCAGCAACTTCTCCAGGGAAACATCCCGGGGGTAAAGTGGGTCCTCCTGTAGGACTGAGAGAATCTGGTGGTGGTATCTGAGGAGAGAGGCCTCGGGTCAAGAGGATGGGGTCTCACTTGTTTCCCCGGAAGAAGTAGGTCTTTCCATTGGGCATCCAGAAGAGAGCAGCATCAATTTTGTCAGTAGGCAGTCCTCGGCCCAGCTCCTTGATGTGCTTGGGATAGCCAGGTTCCAGGGAAGCTTCGTCAAACACCCAGTGCTTGTCTCCTGGGGAGGAGAGAGAAGGGCACGATCAGGGTTCCACTTGGGCTCTTGCGGCTCTGGAGAAGTCGAGTGGAATCCACTCTTTCAGGGAGACTCTCCCCACACCCAGAGCACTAAGGTAGAATGCCTGGTTACCTTTGAAGAAGACAAACTTGCCATCCTTCCTCTCGTAGGCAGTGTTAATGGATGCGGGCAGGCCCCGCCAGAACTGGCCGATGGGCATGGGGTATCCATCCATCACCTGGTTATTCCTCACCCTCCAGAACCAGCGCTCCTGGAAGGCATCAAGGTGGGGACAGGGCGTTATGTCTTGTAGCTAGTCCTCTGGCTCAGTCCCCAAAGCTTCCCACTGCCTCAGCTCTAGTTCTTAGTCTTCCTGCTGCTGTTTCCACCCAGCCTGCTGGGCATAGAGCCCCCTTGCCTCCCAAACCAGCCCACTTCTTCCTCTCACCTTGAAGACAAACATCTCCCCTCGGAGCACGGCCACGGTGTCAAAGTTCCCGTCGCAGATGTTGGGCCCATAGGTGGGGTTTTTGGGCTTGTCAGGGACAGAGGGCCTGGAGGTAGTCCTGGGTTGAGGGGGCATCTTGGTGGGAAACCCTGACTCACTTCCTGGTGTAGAGAACATGAAAGGCACTTTAGACTTTGTGACAGGGGAGAGGAAAGAACAGATATATGGGCAGACGATACCCTTGCAAAGATGTGGGTGGACCTTTAGAGGAGGCTGAAGCAATCAGCTGGGGCAGGACAGAAAAGGTGGGATCAAAGGTGAGAGAGGAATAAAATATATAGAAGAAATAGGGGTGCCTGGGTGGCTCAGTCGGTTAAGCAGCTGACTTCGCTCAGGTCATGATCTCGTGGTTTGTGAGTTTGAGCCCCGTGTCAGGCTTTGTGCTGACAGCTTGGAGCCTGGAGCCTGCTTCAGATTCTGTGTCTCCCTCTCTCTCTGTCCCTCCCCCGCTCATGCTCTGTCTCTCTTTCTCAAAACTAAATAGACACTGAAAACAATTTAAAAAATATATAGAAAAAATAACGTAAAAACAAGTGGGAGTGTAGGGTGGGTGGAGGCAGGGCCTGGCAGGGACGGGAGAAGACTGTAGGACATGGGAAGGAGAAAGGGTGCACGGGCCAGAGAGACCAGGAGGGGGAAGGAGCACATGTAGGCATACATTACTCACCATACAGTTGCTGGATGCCCCGGCGGTCGTCATCGGGCAGCACGAAGTTCTCTGTGTCCATCCACTGGTAAAAGGGTGCCATGATGGCCGAGGGATCGTTGGAATGTTCAAGGCCCAGGGCGTGGCCCAGTTCGTGCACAGCCACCAGAAAGATGTCATTCCCTGGAGGGATGGGGATGATTATGAGGGCAGCCTGGGCCCCTTCCCTCAGACTCTCTGCTTTCCCACCAGAGGCTTCATTTTCATACCCGAGGCTGGGCCTGTTATGTTTCCCACCCAAAAAGCCACCAAGCCAGTCAGCGATCTGTTCTGGTTGGAGGTGAGAGAGTGCTCTGGGGCCAGACACCAATACCAGGAAGATGTGTATTAAGGGGAGCTGAGGTCCTATCTGGGCCCCAGTTTCTCCCAGGAGTTGGAGGTGCCATTTGCCTAGAAAAGTGGGAAGTCTTTGACTGGGAAGTCAATGATTGGGTGAGAGAAGGGACCAGATGTAAATAGCTCAAAATAAGATCCCTGCTTTCACTGGAAGTCAGACTAGGAGATGTTTGTAGCCCAGAGACTGTGGGGTTTGAGGTTTTGGGAGGAGGCGGGAGACCCCCCATGAAAACAATCACTGACTCTCCCCAGAATAAATGAGTCCCAGGGCTACCTCGCTCACCATTCAGATCCTCATTCCTGACAGTCCAGGGCTCGGCAGAGTCAAAGTGGGTGTCCCCTCCAATGTTGGGGCCTGGGAAATAGGCATGTGCCAGGAAGCCACCCTCGCCATCGAAAGGTGTGCTGTCACCATGGAAGCCCTCAGCGAAGAAGATCATGATGTCGGCCTGCTTCTCATGGCCCTCTCGGATATAGGCATAGGGTACCTCTCGAAAACGAAGTGGTGTGGCACTCTCCCACACGCGGAATGCCTTGCGAATGGCCTCGAATGTGGCATGCTCTCCCACCTTGGGGGTGTAATTCTGGATGCTGAGGTCCAGCCGCACGGGGAGAGGATGGGAGTGTGTTAGGATAACAAAGGATAAAATTCTCCCTCCTTGCACTTTCCCAGGTTTGCGTGAACCGCCCAGCCACCTCTGCTGACCTGGCTCTTCCTGCTGCCTCACGATGCCTCAGCCCCAAGAACTGAGGGCTCAAGGGACCCACAGGCTTTGGTTTTCTGGCCCTGGGATGTACCCCCCGCCCCCCAGGCTGCACCTCTCTCCAGGATTAAAGCCCCTTTCCTCCCCACTCCCGAGGACGCTTCACAGGAACAGAGGTGAGTAGGACAGGAGTCCTCAGTCTGTAAGTACAGTTGACAGGAAGGGCAACCCTGATGGGAGAAAGGCAACTTGCCTGTTGGACTCACCAAAAAGTGATCTCATTATGCTGCCATTTGAGGCCCTGGATGGCATAGCGTTTCCTTCGAACATTGGCCTTGATCTCAGCTCCAAACTTATCGGGGACACCACAGCGGGGGCGCCTCATGGCCCTGGGGTGTGAGATTGCAGTCAGGATAGTGTATGAAAGAGAAAGGTCTTCAGAGTGGGGGAGTGCCTGGCCTCAGGGTCAGTGTGGGAAAGGGCCAAGGTTATGAGGTCAGGGTGGATAAGAGAGAGTCTAAAAAAAAAAAAAAAAAGTGGGAGTGTAGGGTGGGCGGAGGCAGGGTCAGGTGGGGATGTGGGGGGAGACTGTAGGGCATGGGGGAGGAGAAGGGACGCACGGGCCAGAGACCAGGGGAGAGAAGGAGCACATGTAGGCATACGTAACTCAGAGTCAGCGTGCGGGGTTGAGGTAGGGGGCAGGAGTCAGGTAGCAACCTCTCTGTGCTCTGTGGGTGCTGGGCAGAATTCCTGCCGGGGCCTAGCACTTACTTCATGGTGTCTGCATCAGCCTTGCCCGTCACTCGCAGACCGTAGAACCTCTGCATGGCAGCGATAGCAGCTGAGAGGGACTGGGGTGAGCGCTGTGTATGCGTTCGCAGATCCCCCGGGGGCAGGTAGCCATACTGCTGCAGCCAGGCCTGTAGGGAAAGAAACGTGGCTTAGAGCATCCCCACTTGGCCCAAGGGGAAACTCTACCCCCTCACGGTGTCTGGCATGCACCCTTGGCTTAGGAGGAAAGGGCGACGAGCTCCCAGCCTGGCTCTGGCAGTGGGGCTGGAGGAATTCCCAGGCTGGACCTGAACTCTGGCCCAGGCCCCAGTAGGACTTGCCTTCTTGGGGCTGTGGGCTCAAACAGGGTACGGAGCCACAGCTCTGGACTTTGGCTGTGAACTCTCTTGAGAATGGGAACCCAGATGGCTCGTCTTCTCAGAGCTGAGATTCCTCCAGCACTTTCCTCCTCTGTGTCAGTGTTCTTGTAAATATAGCATGTCCTACCTGAGAATGGGTTGTGCCCCTGATGGGTGGAGGTGGGGAGGCTGAGGGGGCTCTATTTTGGTCCTGGCATGAGACCCTCTTGGGACAGGGATGCCATGCTTCCAGGACCCTCACAGCTGAGATCTTTTTGGAAAGGTGAGCAGAAAAGGAGCTAGGGCTGAGGCTGGCTGCTGAGAGGGGGAAGCCGGGACGTTTGGAGGTGTCGGGGGTGTGATCCAGCCACTGAGCCAGGATCCTGCCACTGTTCCCATCCGAGCATCTGACCTAGGGCATGGGACCTAAAGGCCCTTACTTAAGGTTCTCAGTACGGGCAGTGGGAGATGGGGGAGGTGGTAGAGACTCGGTGACTGTATTTTACTTAAGGTATGTTGTGAATTGTTCATAATATAAAAGCTGGCATGCTGCCTTAAAATAAAGTTAGGTTTTTGGTGTTTGACTGAAAGGTATGCAAACTACAAAGCCCTGCTGACGGGGGGGAAAAAAGTCAGCCTTTATCGTAAGAACAATGGAGTATTTTTCTAAAGCCTGAAAAGTAAAATGAGCCAAGGTGTATATGGAATATGAAAATGCTGGGATTCTCTAGGGGAGATACTACTCTGGTCCCTGTTCCAGCTTTGCCTTCTTAAGGAGTCCAGAGGGGGCCTGCACGTTGCCTGGGATGGAATCTGGGAGTGCAGAGGGGTGGACGATGCTGTTGGGCACCACATCTCTTATCCCAGGTTGTCAGGATGGATCTTCATGTGGCCCTTCACCTCTGGGCCCGGCCCGGGAAGTGGAGCAGTGCTCCTGCATTGGGGCTGGGGGTGATTCAGGAGCAGCTGACTGGAGACATGTGCCCGCAGGGGCAAGAATTGCAACAGGGTTCTGGGAAGTGATCCCCCAAGGCTGATGGGAGTTAGGGCCCAAGATGTAAACAACCCAGCCTTTCCCCAGCCAACAGGCCTGGCCTGAATAACCTTAGCACCACCCGGCTCTGAGAGCCCCTCCTCAGGGGTAGAGGAGGGAGCAAAGTTTAACCTCTGCTCTACCACAGGGGAGCAGAGCAGGGTGCTCCAGAACCCGGCTACTCTCCCCACAAGCTGTAGGCTTGCTTGCCCTGACCTGTGCTGGCTGATGCCACAGCTAGTGCCCGTGGGAGGTTGCAATGGCCTGTGCCCAAGTATGCAGGAAACTCCCTTTGCCCTTGGCCTCACCTGTAGGGTACACACACCCCAGGCTTATGACCCCGGGTGGGGGAGCCACTACTTCAACTTTGGAGAAGCATGGGAGTGGCCTACTCCTGGAGCTGGCAGTCAGGAGGACTGAAGTCAGGCCCCCTCAACCCTCAGGGAGCAAAGCTGAGGGGATTTCTGCTAGGGCAGAATGACAGAATAGAGGGTGGCAGAGAGGTGGAGAGAATCCACATCTAGGAGCGGTGGGATCAATCCCTCTCCCCTGTGAGTCTTTCAAGAAAGTAGGCAGGTCTAAATATTCACACCCACAAAGTCCCCCCCGCCCCCCCACCATGCGCAAGAGAGAAAAATGGAGATTTAGGCAAGAAAGGGACTTCCCTGGAGTCAAAGAGAGCCACAAAGCCTGGAAAGGAAGTGCCCCCATCCCTCTCCTCCCAGGCCTAGGCTCTGAGCAAAGCAAGAACCACAGAGAAGACTAGGAGGTGAGGTTGGAACCACAGAAGAGAGGACTCTTGTGTCTGCGGCTGGGTGGGGGAAGGGCCAAGTGCCAGACAGGCCACGAGGAGGAGAGGGCTGTCCTGGAGCTGGTGCAGGACTCTGGAGGCCTGGTGGGAGGGACCCGGCTGGCTGAGGCCTGGCCACCCGAGCTCGCCCTCTAGATTGGCCTGGAGAGGGAGCAACTATGTTAGGTCAAAAAACTCAGTTGGCTGGCTTTGTCTTGAAAACTGAGTGGTATGAGTATTCCCCTAGGGGAAAACTCAACAGAACCCCTCCCACCTCTGGCCTAGGAGTCCTGCAGAAGGTGGGTAGGTGGGTGGGTGGATGAGGGGAACTCTGGCTCTCCAGCAGGCCCTGGATCAGAGCCTCTGGGCCTGTTCCTCCCTCTGTGGCCCAGAAGCAAATGGTGGTTCTGGCACTGGGACTGCACATGACCCACTTAAAACAGAGCCAGGGCTGCCGCCCCTCCCCTAGGGGGGCCTAGTGGGGCAGGGGAGGGAAGGCAGGGCAGGCAAAGTTGGCAGGGGACAGCCCCTAGATGTCCAGACTCCTTTTGTTAGGGGCTCTCCTTGCAGACCTCCGATGAAGACTCCAGGCCTGGAGAGAGGATGCCTCCTCCAGCAGGACCGTGTCAGGCTGGGCCCCACAGCAGATTCGCACTCTCCTTGGCCACCCCCTCCCCAGGGCCACGCTTTTCTTTTTAGCCTCGGATCCCTTCGGGACAGAGAGAGTGTGTTCTTTCTGGAGATGTTTCCTCCGGGGGTGGGTCCAGGGCCAGGACCAGGAGGGAGGAAGCCAAGTCCAGATCCCCTCCCCCTTCTGGGGCCCTTCCCGGCCCCTCCCGACCGCACCCAGGCCCTGCCGGGCTGAGTGGGTTGGGATGGCCCAAAATAAGAAGCTGATCAAATTCGTCTCCCACCTTCACCCCAAAATAAGAGAGAGAGAGAGAGAAAGAAAGAGGAAAAACCTCCCCAGACAACTCCCACGCGGCTTCCTCCCGGGCCGGTGGGCCAGCGTCTGGGAAAGAGTGGGGGGGGGGG